ATTGATATAATTATTAAGTATTGTAATTAGTTAGTAAATAATATTAATGAATATTGTATAATCAATAATTAATAATTAATTAATATTTATTTATAATTAATATAAACAAAATAATATTAATATTAATGAAAGTTATAATTGAAAAAAGTGATAATAAGCTACCAAAACGTTATTTCAAGTAGCGTTTCAATAAGCTAGTTTATCAGCATCCAAACGATGTACCAAGAAAATAAGCTAACTTATTTTTGTTAAACAAGACCTTTAGGGATTTTGGACATGTTTTTTTCTTCTACCGGATTCTCCAAATCTTTTTCTAAATTGGATAAAGTATGAAAGAGAGTGTAAGAAATCTCCAAATTTGGAGAAAATCCTATAAGCGATTAAAATGAAAGAGAAATATTTTTTAATATATTTTCACCAATAAAATGTTGGTGATTTCGGAGTGTTTAAAATTGCTTATTTAAAATAAACTTATATATATATATATATATATATATATATATATTTTTTTTTTTGTAAAAGTGTTTATTAACTTATGTAGTGTCAAATTGGACTTCTTCTAAAAAATGTTTAGATTAGCTTATGACTGTACGAAAACGTAATAAGCCCATAAGTATGTATTTTTTTCCATCCAAACACTAAAAACTCATTATTACTGGTATCACATCGAAATAAATAAATAAGTTAGAAGAGAGTAACTTACCAAAAACCTTTTATTACGGTACCAAACCGGTATAAGTATTTCATTTTTTTTCATCTAAACACTAAAAACTTCTTATTACCGGTATCACACCTATTTAAGTTAATAAACACTTTAAGTAAGCAATTACAAACACCCCCTTAGTATCATCAAGCATTTTAGTGTAGTTGTGATTTACTTGAAATCGATTATGGTGATGAGACAAACATACGTGAGTTAGGAGGTGCAGATTGTATATTTAAAAATGTTGCTCCTATTATCTTAGATCGTCATAAAATGAGGGTCAAAAGGTCGCGCCCCCTTGTGGGGTCCTAGAGGCAGCTCCCCTAACGGGGTTCCAAGAGGCTAGTCCCCTTGGCGTTAATCCGTAAAGACTAGAAATTCTACTAAGTCGTAATTATGAAACAATGCATATGAAATTATGGACTTGCATGTTCAGACTTCTATTTCTCAGACTTAGAAATCCGTTAAGTCTCAACCCTGGTCCAAATATAGCTCTGGTCTTTGACCTATCGCTGAACATGTGTGTTCAGATGTGCCTCCTATCTTTGGTTGGTCATCGGCCTATCGTTGAACGTGTGTGTTCAGAGATGGCTTTTATCTCTCGTTGAGTACATCTAGAGCTTTGGACCTGCATGTTTCGGAATTTAGATTCAGTTGTCACTACTCTTCGATCTTATCCATTAGGTTACAATCGTTAAACTGTCAATAACTGTCGATCTCTCATTTAAATATGTAAAACGAGAATCCGAGTATATGTCTCGATTTTCATCGCCTCTGAAATAGAGAGAAAAATAACTTAAGATCAGAATATGAAAATTTTGAACTCAAGTCCAATAGGGTCGAATTATTATATTTGAAAAGTGTTTTTTTATATGATTCTTGAGTTTTATCCTGTCACTTCATCTTCTTTTGAACATGATTCCCAACATAATTTTTTTAGAAATACATATTTTATTAAATAAATAAATAATATTTTAATAATATAAGCAATATTAGAATCTTTAAAATAAATTCTTTATTAAAATTAAATATATTATTATTTTGAAGATTTTAAAGTTTCATCATCGAATTTAAAAAAAAATTAGAATAGGATTTGAGATGTTATAATACAAACAAAGCGATAGACTAAGTTAAGATGACCTTCTAAAAAATTCTTATAATACACGTGGAAAACCCTTATTGGTCCCAAACTGAAAAGGCCAAGACCAAAAGTACTTTGACTTTTCGAAACCACAAACCCTTATTCTAATCTGACCATGGTTAACAAACCACGAGTTAGAATTTTAACTATGATTAGGCAAGCAAATGTTTTTGGTTTATCCCCAATTTGGCCCCTTTCAAAAAATTTTATTTTTATTGAAAATTCATAAACGAAGACTTTTTGCAACCCCTCGGCACTCGCTCACTTTCTCTCTCTGGATTTTCACTTTCTTCACTAAGATCTTTCCATTACTTTTTCTTAGTCGGTTGTCGATTTCATTTGTTTCGGCGTTAAATTCGGATTCTAGTGGTCTGTTTCTAGCACTGTGGTGTGATCAATATGGCTAAAATTTAGGGAAAATGTCTGAAACCCTTGTTTTCCCACTGTTTGAAGCTAAATCCAGCGTTACCTGATTGTGTGATATGGGATTTGTTAGCTCCTTGATTGATTTGAGTTTTGGTTTGTAGAGACGATCGATGCTGGATTGATTGATAGAGAGTATTGCTTAAGTTTGGTAGCTAACCCTAGAAAAAGTAAAAGCGTTTGAAATACTTTGATTTCATTAGAAATCTCCTTTTTCCTAAACGGAAGTTGAAGCAAAACCCTAGTAATTAAGTCATCATGACCACCGAATTGGACAACACGTCGGCCGTCAACGAGTCCACGGTATCCGGCGAAGCTAGTATTTCTTCTCTGGGCAATCAGACGGCGGCGCCTCCAGAAAAGCCAGTGAAAAGGAAGCGAAATTTAGCCGGCATGCCAGGTAACATTGAGATTCAGCAAAATTTGATAATAATTGAACTGTGATTCTGAAATTTGTTTGCTTAATCTGGGTGTTTTTTGGACTGGTTGCCTTAATTGGGAGGTATATGTATTAGATTAATGAGCAAATCCCCATACGCAGTCAACTAAAAATGAATTCATGCTGTTTGGAGCAAGCATCGCAAAGCTTCTATTAGCAAATACATATCAAAATCATAGGGTTAGGACTTGCTATGTTGAAATTTATATGAAAATTAAGTTAATTTTTCCTGCTTAAAACATATAGATCCAGATGCAGAGGTGATTGCCCTATCTCCCAAGACTTTAATGGCTACAAACCGATTTGTTTGCGAAATTTGCAATAAGGGGTTTCAGAGAGACCAGAACTTGCAACTCCATAGAAGGGGACATAATCTGCCATGGAAGCTTAAACAGAGGACAAGCAAAGAGATTAGGAAGAGAGTCTATGTATGTCCCGAGCCATCATGTGTTCACCATGATCCATCACGGGCGTTGGGCGACCTCACGGGGATCAAAAAGCACTTCTGTAGGAAGCATGGTGAGAAGAAGTGGAAATGTGATCAGTGCTCGAAAAAGTATGCAGTTCAGTCTGATTGGAAGGCTCATCTGAAGATATGTGGAACCAGAGAGTATAAATGCGATTGTGGGACTTTGTTTTCGAGGTTAGATGTTTATGAAATCTTTCATTGTTGGCTTAAAACGTGCAGGCGGATTTGTGTTTGAATGTTGAAGATTTTTTTGGTTTATGTGAAGGAGGGATAGCTTTATTACCCACAGAGCATTTTGTGACGCATTAGCCGTGGAGAGTGCTAAGGGTCAGGCAGAGGATGAACCTTCCAAGAAAGATGAAGACCCGAAGCCTCTATTGATAGAATCAGCACCACAATCAACCTCAACAGCATCACCGCCTCCACCACCGCCACCAGCATCACTGCCGCCACCTCCACCCACCACCACCACCCCTGCAGTGCCTGTAACATCTTCAGTTTTGTGTATTGCAAAAACTCCAGGTATAACAAGTCTAAGGTTTTAACAAGCACCATTAATTCTATCATAAAGAAAGCAACAAATTTTTGTGCTTCTTCTGCTTCGTGTTGGAGTTGAGTTGTTTTGTCATTTGCTTTGAGTTTCCTTGCATCTTATATACATTAAGACCAACAATCAATTCTCTGATTTCATTTAAAGATTCATTACAAGTAAATATCGCTAAAAAGGAAATACTTGTATACAATGCTTGTCTGCCTGCAGATTTACCAGAAATTTCCAAGTCCAATAATGATTCTAGACCTGTTTTGGAGAATCCATCACAACTGGTAGCAGGGTTAACGGGAAGCTCTAGTGGCAGCTGCAGCTCAACCAATACAGGAAGCACAAGCAGCAGTGTATTTGCAAGCCTATTTGCATCATCAACTGCATCCAAAACCTTACAGCCACAACCACAACCTCAAACAACTGGATACAAAGACCTAATTCGATCTATGACTCAGCCTACGCAAACACCCGATCTTACACTACCATCTTCAGCTCAAGAAACTATATCACTATGCTTATCTACCAACCAGGGATCCTCGATTTTCAGGACAGCGGGACAGGAGCTCCGGCAATATGCTCCTCCACCTCAGCCCACCATGTCAGCAACAGCATTACTTCAGAAAGCTGCTCAGATGGGTGCATCTGCCTCCGGTGCATCACTACTCAGGGGTTATGGGCTTGATGCTGGGCAGCGAGATGACACAGATGGTGGTGCATCCATTGGGCTGGGGCTCGGTGTGGGCTATGATGGGAGGTCTGGTTTGGAAGAGCTCATGATGGGGACTCCATCCGTATACGGGCCTAAGCATACCACTCTTGATTTTCTCGGGTTAGGTATGGCGGCTGGTGGTGGAACAACCAACGGTCTGTCGGCTCTGATGACATCCATTGGCGGCAGCCTTGACGTTACAGCTGCTGTTTCGTCATTTGGACGTGGTGGCAGAGCAGGCAGTGGCGAATTCACCGGAAAAGACATGGGGACGCAGTAGGCACTTGGCACCGATGGCCCAGATTTTCTTTGCCTTGGCAATTTCTAGTGTGGTAACTCTTGTCTGTAGTAATTAGCTTAAATTAGTAATATGGATTTTATATTTATTTTTTTACTAGCTTGATGTAAATTAATATTTCATCTCTATTTGTATAATTAAATCCAGAAAGAAAAAGGAAATTGATGGGAGTCTGGATTTCCATTTGCTTAGGAGTCAACCTATGCCAACTTGCTGTTTTTCTAAATTTAATTTACTGTCATTGTTGACTTTTATATCTGAAATTATGTCCAACTTTGATACTTTGCAGTTTGCATCATTTCAATTTTCAGGAGGGAAATGCTTTTTATCTTGGGACATAGTTGACTTTTTTTAGGTCAATTATGTCCCAATGCATTGCTCCTATTCCTCTATTGGGACATTAACCTAAATAACACATGGAAAGAGAAGTTTTAAATTTTAGCCACCTCAAAAAAAAATTTGCAGAAGGCCAGGTATCCCGTAAATTTGACACCACAAACCACGTGTGTTGTGGTGTTGTAAGAGGTCGCAGCTTGTGGTTTCTTTTTTTTAAAGGACGTTACATATTCATCACATAAATAACCAATCTCAAATATGTAACGTTCGGGTTCAACATTATCCAACGTTACGGCAAAACGGTTGAATCATACTCCCATACTCCGTTTACCTTCTTTTACGTTCCTCCAACACAAATATGCAATTTAACTTTTGGTTTCTACGTGATGCATACAAAGACTAAAAAAACATGCAACCTATACAACACATATCCCCTCTAAAAAAGGAACCACAAGCAGCGGCCTGTCATTTGGAACTGCAACTTGCGATTTTGAAATCTATTTTTACGACGCCATCATTTTTTTAACATATAATATGTCAGAAGTATTTGATACCGCAAGAAAAGTGACTTACGGTGTCAAATTTACGACATGCCAAAAACTTTTAAGGTGGCTATAATTTAAAACTCATTTTTTTCATGTGGTTATTTAGGTTAATATAAAAAACCCCTCTATAGTGGTTTTATTTTTGTTTTTATGACAATCAACCATTTGCTAAATTACAAAAATCATTCCTTAATTATTGATTCAATATAATTGGATTTCATACTATTTTAGTCCAAACCCTTAACCCCACCAATCAAATTTAAAGGCAAAAGTATGATTTCTCTTCCTTTTGTCGTTTTTTGTTTTTAAAGTGAAAATTTCTCAAATTTCACAAACAAGACTTTTTTCAATCAAAACACAAATCCATGTCCGTAAACTCAAATTATCCAACGAAAAATAAATCTATAACAAATTTAAATTAGGGTTTCTTAATATCTGACTTATTTTGGTAGAGCAGAGTTAATTGCAAACTTATGTCCCGTTGTAAATCATGGAAAAAAAAGTGTCACGTGCAAATATTCATGGGATATTCATCATTAATACTACATCATTCATCTTAAATGGTGTAAAAAAATCGCGTTTACTATTTACGACGAGTGAGAATAAACAGGCACATGTGTCGTGATCTCCTTTGTCCCTCAACTTGAACACAAAATAGGTTTCCAACCGAACCTTCCTCTACTTTGATATAACTGAAAAACACAATTCAAATTTGTCTTTTTATCCATCATTAAGTACTAATTACACCAAATTTAATCCATGAACTCTCAATGATGGATTTCAAAAGTGATATTGTTGGATTTGATAATCCTCAGTGTTTTTTATTTATTAAAGAAACAATTTTAGATAAAGATGAATAGGAAACAATAAAGCCTTAGATAAGATTTTCTTTCTTTCGAAAAGTGATTTTGGACTAATAATGTAAGAAAAATGTTGTTAAACTTAAACCGAACACTCTTTTAACGTATTCTATCTCTTAGTTTGGTAAGGCTATTGACAAAAACTTTAACACTCCATTGATTGTTTTCTTTTAACTTTTACGGTACCCCACAAAACACTACCACACACATGATTGACTTTGGGATAGTAATGGAAAACGACACATGCATTATGTATCGAGTTATTACCATTTACTTCTATAAGACTATTTTAATATACATTTTAGTTTCAACAGATTTCTTAAAATGTTTTCAATGTAAAAAGTAGGAGGGGAGATGAAATTCTTTAAGTTTGAATAACTCTCGAAAATGATTACTCGTAAAAGAAAATTATTTTTTTATATTTTCTACCAATGAGAATTCTTGAAATTAAATGTATATGAGATATGAATAATATTTTATAAAATGTATTGAATGTTTTAGTAATATAATTGATACTGTAGTCTCTAAAATGGAGAAAATGTTGGAGATGGCCATGAATTTTCTATTGGAGATTTTGACTTTTGATTCTTCGTTTTGGTGAAATTATTAAAAATGCTCTGACAATATATCATGGATATCTCTTTTATAAAATACTAAAACATGTATTGTTTATATTGAGCATATTGTGTCAAACATAAATATACAACTCAGTTTAAATCACAAAACGATACGCTCGTTTAACATTTGTAGGATATATGAAATATTTTCTCCCATGTCTTTGTAGGATATGATGTTACAGACTTGTAGTTCTACTTAATGGGAATCATATAATCGCATTAAAGCTCTTTCCCAATTGTGATTTCCAAAACGACACGCTCATTTAACATTTTTAGCATAATTACAGATGAAAGATGAACCCTTTCATGGATTGACTAGCCGACCCCTATAACTTTCTTTTCATATTTTTCACTTTTTGGTCCTTATTTTGAATCATGCATTTTGCCATAATTGTCGATTGGAAAACACATTAATATATTTGTTATATCAGCTAAAATATTATTAGTAATAGAAGTATACTCATTTACAATTAAGGGGGTGTTTAAGATTGCTTATTTAAAACAACTTATGTTTTTCTATAAAAGCATTTATCAACTTATTATAAGTCAGAAGAATTTAACTTTTTCAAAAACTTCTTATTACTGGTTTGACACCGGTATAAGTTGTTTATCCAAACACTCAAAAGTGCTTATTACCGGTGTCACACCGAAATAAGTCAATAAGTTATTTTTATAAGCAATCCCAAAAACCCCCCCTAAACCCTTAAAACATACAAGCTTATAAAACCTATTTTCATAACATGTGTAAAAGTATGAAATTGTTTCGTTTGTAAAATTTTAATGGTTGTTTTGTGTGTGGAAAAAAAACAGTTCTAAACTTACATATAAAATAGTATTTTATAAACACTATATTTTTATCAATAGTGTTGTATATATGTAATAACACATAAAAACTGGTTTATAAATCTGTACAAATTATTGAGTTCGTAAAACAAGAAAATCTATTTATAAATTTGGTTGTTAACCTTCAAAGTCAAATTTATTATAAATAGTAATTTGGTTGGGTTAAAACCCATTGGCCCAACAAAGGCCCAAACTGCTCATATGGTAGGAGGCTAGGAGCAGCCGCCTATCCACAACACTAAACCCAAAAGCTTCCATTTCCTTGCTAAACCCAAAACCCTAGACATGGCCTTGTCGTCGTCTTCTGCTCTCCTCCGCCGCGCCCGCCATCTGTCAACCGCCATCGCTACCGTCCCCGCCACCACCACCACCAATGCCACAGTCTCAGCTTCCATGACTATTTCCAAAGCCAAATCGAAACTCAGAACGGAACACAATACCGATAAAGCCTTAGACATCTACTCAACCGTCAAATCCAACTACTCCGCATCGTCCCCGGGGTCCACACACCATGCCCAACAGATCACAGTCCGCCGCCTCGCAAAGTCTCATCGTTTCTCCGATATAGAAGCTCTAATCGAATCCCACAAAAGCGATCCTCGAATTACTGATGAGCCCTTCCTGTCTTCACTCATTCGATCGTACGGCATCGCTGGCATGTTTGAGCACGCCCTCAATACATATAATCAGATGGAAGCTCTAAAAACCCCTAGATCAACCATATCATTCAATGCATTGCTCATGGCATGTGTGAATTCGAAGAATTTTGATCGTGCCCCACACCTGTTTGACGAAATGCCAGCAAAGTATGGGTTCCAACCGGATGACTATTCGTATGGTATACTGGTTAAGTCTTTTTGCGATGCCGGTAAGCCTGAAAAGGCGATTGATAGATTGAAAGAAATGGACAAAAAGGGTATTCAGATTTCTGGGGTTATTTATACATCAATAATACATTCATTGTATAAGAAAGGAAATGCCACTGAAGCTGAGAGGATTTGGGATGAGATGGTGAATAGAGGGTGTTTGGTAGATGTTGCAGCAAACAACGTTAGGCTATTTAATGCAGTTGACGGTGATCCTGAGAACATCAAGACAATGATCGAGGAAATGAGCAATTCGGGGCAAAAACCTGATACCATAAGTTACAATTACCTGATGACTTGTTACTGTAAAAAGGGGATGATGAAGGAAGCCAAGGAGGTGTATGACAAGCTGGAAGAGAACTGTTGTAACCCAAATGCTGCCACATTTAGGACTTTATTGTTTTATTTGTGTAAGAATGAGCAGTTTGAGACTGGGTATAAGGTCTTTAAACACAGTGTGAAGGTCAACAAGATACCAGATTTCAATACACTGAAGTATTTGGTTGAAGGATTAGCAAAAAAGTCAAGAACCAAGGATGCCAAAGGGATGATCAGGACGATGAGGAAGAAGTTCCCTCCTAATCTTTTGGTTGCTTGGTCAAAAATTGAGAAGGAGCTTGGTTTAGTCAGTATTGAAGCCGAGGCTGCAAAAGAAGTTAGGACATAAGTTATCTGGGATAGGTATCGAATAAGACCGCTATACGTCATTTCATTGACATGATACAACAAACAGGTAGCCGATAGCTCTCATCAACACAGATACCATATGTTTCATCCGGTGCCGGACCTTGTCAAGAAGGTAAGTGATACAAATGTCATGTTCAATATTTTATCTAGTTGATGAGTGATTGATTTGTTTAATTATAAACAAATGCTAGTTTTGAGTCATTCACAGCTCAAATATGGAGCTTTTAGAGGATGTTGATTGTTGCTTACTGATTTTTATGTCAGTCAGAAACTTTTTTGTTGTTCAGTATCTGAATCTTGTCATTGGTGGTATGCATACCGTTTGCCTTTGCAATTTGTAGTTTTCTACCCTGACGTTGGGAATTTTAGTGTCTCACAACTTCACATGCTTGAAGATTTGTGTCGTGTATGTTACTTAGGAAGTGATAAGAAAAGAGACATGAGTAAAAATATGAGGCCATCTTTCTAGAAAATCAAACACTAAAGACCCAGTTTACAGCATAATAGCCTTTCCCTGTGATTATGCAGGGTGGGTTCAGTCATTGTGCTTGAGCTCACGTAGGAGAAATGCATAGTTGAAAATGTGCTCATAGGGATCTCCTTTCTTCTGTCACTGGGGGCTGTCTTGGGCAATCCAAGGCCAGGCTAAGTAGTAACATCCTGGAGAACCCATGTGAAAGGAGAGTTGGATTGTATTAATTTCCTGCTCGCTTCTCTTTTAGGGTGCGTTAGTTACACAGGCAGGACCGTATATGGCTGGATTGGATGGGCTATAGTGAGGTAGGAGGTGAAAGAATTGTGAAAGGTCTTAGGGATTTAACATGGTATGAGTAGTTTACTAATTTATCAAGATTGTTCAATTTCTTGATTTTGTTCTATTATTTTTGGTGGGACAGGAAAAAAATGCATTTTTGTTCCACTCGGTCCCGTCAAGTCCCAGTTTAATTGTCATACCACAGGCAAGACAAGTTCTTGTTCTGAATTGTACTGTCTTGCATGCCAAACATACCCTCAGTTACCAATTTAGGTCTTCGAATCCTGTGATTCTTGAAGGTTTGATGGATCATGAGGTTAACCATGAGTAGACAGTGATTGGTGTATGTTGGAATTATATATTGGAAGGCCTTTTGTCCCTCCTAGCATTGCTCCTTGGTGGTGAGAGATGAGGTCTAGCGTGCATGGTTTTTCGAGTTGGCACCGACTCCACAAACTTGTCTGAGCTTTGGTTCGAGTTCCTCGTTTTACATTGGTCTTTGGAGAAGCTACTGTTAGCCCTCGTCCTTTACCCTTGCACTCGATTAAGTTGATGGGCATTAGATGACCACCGTTCATCTCGATGTATGAAATATAATTGTTTTCAAAATATATAATATTTATATACACTAAATATTCATTGAGACACCTTACCTTTGATCTTATGGGAGGCTAGGAACCAAGGCCCAATTTCAAATGAACACATGTGTCACACATTTAGAAGGTGGCTTAAACAAATTGATTTTCTTTTGGATGTTAAGTTACTTGATTTAGTTAGATGTTTGGCCATTTTAAAATTTGGCTGATGTTAATCTAGCAAACAATAGAGAAGACAACAACTTATCTTAATTTGAATGGAATTGGTGATGGTTGACTCTATTATTTAAACAATAAAAATATAAGTTTCAACTCTTTAACCAACCTTGTATTTATTTTAGTATTCCTTGTCATACTTGTTCCATTGTCTTTTACGATAGCATTTGGTACACATAAATGATTGGACATGACCAAAGGATAGGACTAGATGGAAAATGTGTTTGTGTTTTGGTAAGTCTAGGACTTGACATGACAGAGCTAAGACAAGTTGTCTCAAAAAGTTATTTGATGATTTTATATATCATATAATAGTTATAATTAATACAAATAAAGTAAATACTTTAATTTAATTTAAACATTTTTACAGAATTTTTGTATACAGAAATACATAACAATACGAAATTTGATATAATTGATGGTAGTTCAAAAAAACTTGATTGGTAGAAAGGAGGAATTATGTTTTATTCTGTTTAGAAGATACTTATCAATTGACGAACGCAAGATAAAATATTGTTGCAACAACAATGGTTGTAGAGGTAGAGGCATTGGTGGTGGTGGTGGTGGTGGTGATGGGTGGTTGTGGAGGTGAGGTGGTAGTGGTGGGCAGTGGTAGCAGTAGCCGATGGTGGTGGTGGTGGTTATGGTGAGGTAGCCTAGGTCGTAGTGGCGGTGACGATAGACGGTGGTGGTCGGTGGTTGTTGTAGTAGAGCAGGAGGTGAAGGTGGTCGACGGTGGTAGTGGTGGTTGTGGAGGTGGTGGTCGGTGGTCGACGATGGTTGTGGATGTGGTGGTTGTAGTGGAAGAGGAGGTGGAGTTGGCCCATAGAGGCTACCACTGGTGGTAGAGGCTGTGACTATCGGTGATGAACAGTAAAACAAATAACATATTAAGGTATATGTATTAAATGAGATTAGTGCTATCTTAGTTTCTATCTAATTCTTGTTCCATCTTGTTCCACATGTTTTGGTGGAACAAGAAAAGTCTTTTTTGTCCCACGCTGTCCCATTTCTCGTCTCTGTCCCTTGTCGCGTCAAACGTGGAACAGTGAGTTCTTGTCCTGTTCCATGTCGCACCCAAGGTTGGACAATGAGTTTTATTTTGTTCTATCCTGTCTTGTTTCATGTATCAAACATAACCTACAAAAACACCATCTCTACTTTTTGGTATTAATTTTGGGTTTGCATACATCCTTTGTCCCAAACCTCCATGTATAACATATTGAACTTGTTTGGTTTGGTTTGATTTGATTTATTTGGCGTAGCACTAATTGGATCTCGTTTCCTTAAAGTCCGTGTGTTGTTTGTTAGGCTACAATTCTTGAGTAGTCGAACAAATTGGTTATCAAGATTTATTGGTTCTCATTTAACATGACATGTTTGAGGAGTGGTTACTTATAACAAAATATGAATAAAGTTTAGGCGATGATCAACTGAACACGATATCAGGGACAAACTCAGTTCAATAGTTATGGTGGCACATGCCACCCTTTCATTCCTCTGTCGTCGTGTAAAAAAATTTAGGTTCGTGAAAGACATAACCGTATCGATTTGTTCTTTTTAAAGTATATAATGATTATATACAACAAATAGCACACATAAGTTCACACACTCTTATCATCTTTGGTGAAGTTTGAACCCTTGACCTCTTAAAATGCCAATGTCTCACATACCGTTATGTCAAAGGCATTTTGGTACCGTATCGATTTGTTACGTACCACTATATATATTTTATAATGTTGTAAAAGATATTTGTTTCTTATAACCAAATAAGCTGAATGATCATTTAATAAAAAAAAATTGGATCCTTCCCTGCACTGTTTCCTGCATCTACCCTCCTATGCTAAATTCATTTTTTGGTTTTATCCCACGTGGTCAAAATGATCACGAAAGTCGTCACTATTTTGTATTATTTTTCTTACAAACAATGTTGCAACTCAAAAGATATGAGTTGTGAAATATTAACTTGTTATATGATCTGGTCATCTTATTTCCTGCGCTTCTAAAATTCATTCAATGAATTTATTAAAGTATTTTATTTATTAAAAAAATCAAATTCTTATATCACAATAAGAGGCTGTCTAACAATTGTTGAATGGTTTGGTACATAATGATTAAGTAGTTAGAATGATTAGGAGGCTGTTATGATATAGTGTAAAATAAAATATAAGTGTTTAGTAATTGTTTACTATGAAATTAGGACGCTTAATGGTTAAAGGAGACCTATGATACAAAATCATTCAGAGGGTTTTAGAATTATTAAGAGTCAGATTTTTTTTTGTCAAACAATATTTACCTCTTAACGATTCAGATATTGTCTTTTAATGAAACTATTAATAGATAAACAAACAATCACTAAAAAGATGGAATTAGATTCTATTTCAAATTCCAAATTTGGTTTAAATGAAAGTGTGAAATTGAAATTTCGAGATTTAATTAAATTCCACAAAATGAGATTTCAAAATCTACAAGATAGTTGGTATTTTACGAGATTTTATAACATTTTATTTGTAATAATATTTTAGAATTTGTTAAAAACATACGTTTTGTAATAATCAGTCTTACTTGGTTTTGTAAATTATTTATAGTAAACGAAATTCAATTCAATTACAAATTGTACAAACCAAAAACATCAAAACATCCAAATCCCTAAAAAAATTACGTCAAACCAATGGCCACTTAGAGCATCTCCAACATAGAGGTGTAAAATGATACGATACAATTTGCAAGTTACTCGAGATCGACTTGGTCAACACTCGACTCGAATAGGCTCGGTTGAACTCGAGCTCGACTCGACATACTAACGAGTCAAGTCGAGCAACCCAATACTCGACTAAAAGAGCTCATACTTGATTTTTTTATATATAATTAGTTTTATAATGTAATTTATAAAATAGAATGTAAAAATTTATTAATAAACTTAACAATAAAAATAAAAATGTCGTACATTTTTTATATATTTGATCAAATTTGTATATCTTTTAACTATAAAAATTAATCAATTATTTTTTTCATTAAAATCATAATTAAGAAAAGACAAAAAAATAATTATAAAAGTGTTTATAAAGTTGTCCCACATTATATGAGAGATACTAAATGATAAAGTTATCCCATATTAGGAAAAAGATGCTAAAGGAAAGACGACAAGATGTTGTAAAAAGAAAAATAACTGATTGGAGTTTGTAATTTTAACGTTTTTTATGATGAAATTTGAGGTGCATCCTTGAGTTTTATAAAGTTTACCTTTGAGTTTTATAAATTATAAAAAAAGATCCTAAAATTTCATAAATTTCAACAGTTGAATTTGATTCGATCTTAATTCGAGTTCGAGTTTGTTTTAGCATCAAATGAGTTTAAACTCGGGTTCAAAAAATTGCAATCGAGTTAGAAAATTCACAAGTTTTCTAGTCAAATTCGAGCTTAAAAATGGCTACCGAGTTCAAATCAAATATATCAATACTCAAGTTGACTCATATCATTTACAATTTTTTTTTTTTGAAATATATGATATTTATATGTGGCAAATGCAACAAATAAACTCACACATCATTCTCACATTTAGTGAGGTTTAAACTCTGACCTCTTAGGAGGCCAAAGACTACGATACCACCGCTAGGCCAAAAACCCTATAGTATATCATTTACACCTTTCCTCCAACATACCACTAAAGACAAACTACAAACCTTAAACCTTTTTCCACAAACCACATAAATGACGCCACCATATCTATTCAATTAAGGGGGTGTTTGGTTCACATAATGGAATTTGATGGAATTGGAATCCATCAAAGGAATTTGATTTTGAAGGAATTGGGATAGAATTTGATGGAATTTGACCATGTGTTTGGTTGGTAGGAATTGGAATGAAATCTCTCAATAGAATTGGAACAATCATCTTTGTATGGACTACCCCTTCCATCGCCCCGCCACACACCCTACCAGCCACCATGTCACTAATGTCGTCGTCACAACTATCACCCGCCCTTCCCCCACCACTTCTTCCCTACCCTGCTCCATAGGTGGGGATTGTTGCGGGCAGGTAGGGGTGGGGCGAGCCAGTGGGTTTGAAGCCAGAGTGGGGCAATAGGTGGCAGTGTGATAGCTGTGATGACTACAGTGGTAGGATGGTGGTTAGTGATATGTTAGAATAGGGTAAGATAGGGTGGGGGAAAGGCAGGACGGTAGGGTGGGTAGGGGTAGGTGGCGGGGTGGTAGCTGTGATGATGCTAGTGGTGGGATAATGGTCGGGAGGCTGGAGCCAGGGAGTGGGTGGGTATGACGACAATAATAGTGGCATGGTGTTTAGTGGTGGGCTGGGGTAGGGTGGGGTGCGAGTGAATGGCGGTTGTGAAGGCGACAATAGTAGTGTGGGGGTGGAGGGTTAGGTTAAGGGCGGCAGGGGCAGGGAGGTGGGGATCAGTGACAGTTGTGACGATGATAGTGGTGGGATGATGGTCAGGGTGATTGGGAGTGGGTGGGTATGATGACGACAATAGTGACATAGTGGCTAGTGGTGGTTAGGGTAGGTGCGGTAGGGTGAGTGGCAGTTGTGACGACGACAATAATGTTGTGGTGGTGGGGGTTAGGTTAGGGGAGTGACACTAACGTTAGTAGCATAATCGTAGTAGGGATGTGTAGTGAGTGACCGGAGGGTGGGTGGGTGTGATGACAATAGTAGTGACATAGTGGTTAGGGTGGGGTAAGGTGGGTGGCAGCGACATCAGTGGTGGGGGTTAAGAGTGAGGCATCATGAACAATAGTAACATGATCGTGGTGGATGGTGATGGAATTCAATTCCTTCCATTATGCCAAGGAATGATGAATTCATTAACTTGTGGAATTCAATGGAATTTGAAGGATTCCATCCATTCAAGAAATAAACCAAACAAAGGAATTGGAATTTAGTCAAAAGAATTTGTCATTCCAATTACATCAAATTCCTTTGAATTCCGTGAACCAAACGGCCCCCAAGACTCTTGACACTAATAATAATAAATAAATAAAAAAGATTATCAACCGTAGCTTTAGCATTTGAAGATCAAAACGTTAGGCTCTATATTTATAATAAGATTATTATATTAATTAATACTTTATATTAAGTTTAGTAATTTTATTATTTTGTGTTTCTAAATTGTAAATCACATTTAAATAATTTAAACAAGAAAAAAAAACAATATAAACAAATATGTGAATAACATTGAAATTTTAATATACATATATAAATGATTTGTATGATAATGAAACATTCAACGAAATAAAAGTATGTTACCAAAAATCTAAAAGTACATAATATTGGCTATCTGATATGTTAGTTATCAACTAAAAAATTGTCAACTTCAAATTTAAAAATATATTTGATTAAACAGATTATTCTAAAAATCAAGTAATAATATATACTTAAACTCAAGAATGCAACCGGGAGAACTCCAGTTTTGGACAACAGAACATTATCTAAGATCAAGTCTCACCAAATCAAGGCAGACACAGGAAACCATCAACAAATAATCCTACTTAACCTCATATTGTTAGAAGATCAGTGACTAAATACAATTCCTTGTCTTGGGTTTGGTTTGGTAGGTAGTTGGTGAAATTCGAAAATTCCACATCTATTGATGCAGAATTCGACGATGAAAATAGAGGAATTTGATTTGGTAATTCTGGTTCACTGGTTATACAAGCAATGTAGCCTCATGGTCAAAGGTACGACGACTGGAATGCGGCATCATACAATAACCAAGAATCATCAAAGGATAAATTATGCAGATAAGCTATATACAAGAACTACCCTGACTTTCCATTTTTAAAGATAATAGTAAAAGGAAGGATTACTACAAAACTTTGCGTCTTTTTACTGTACCTCAGTTGGAGCAATCACATCTCAAAATCCCAGATACTCTCAGCAGTAAATTTTGGCATCTTTTTCTCCTCTGCTAAATTGACTGATGCAGAAAGCTGGAAGGCATGGAACCAAGTGTCAGAAATGGTCTCACACAGAAATATTTTACATAGCATGCCCAATTCCAAGCAACCAAACAACTACTTAACCAGAGACAAGATAGTTCAGTGAATGCTAAGTTAACCGGACACAATATCTTTCACTGGATGCTAAATGAACGATAAAAAGATCAGCAGCTATCCCTTGCATTGCTGTGATTGTTCAAATGATACTAATAAGTAATAGAGACTACTGATCATTACTGCACTTGAGGTGAAGGCACCCAACAGTCAATGATTTAGAAAAGAGAATAAGAGAAGCTTCTCTCAAGAGAAGTTCAATCCTCGAGAGAGAAAACAAGTCCGCTTTGTTTCTTGGATCAAAATATTAAATATATATTTCCTCCATGCTGCTTGAGAAACTTCGATTTAATTGGTCACGGTCCTTTAATCAAACTGATAAGCAATAGAGCACCAAAACTCCTGTTCAATTACAGAGTTGTGATGAAAATGTGCCTTGTGGAAGTTTTACCTAGTGAAAAATGAAAGCCTATAGTGATCTGCAATAGGAAAAGGTTAAGAATTGCTGCGTAAAGCCGTAGCTAGCAGGCTTCATCAGACCCTCGGCTCCCTTTTGCTAATGGCTGGAGCCTCAAACTTATACACTGCCCATAATTTTATCATCTTTCATTACGTTCAAGTTTCAATTAGGAATCCAAATAAATTAGTTTAAGGGCTTGTTTGTTAGCAGCTTAATGAGCTTAATGGGACACACAACTTATTTACATGGCTGTATGGTAGTGGCTTAATGATGTAGGAGCGGCATATTTAGTAAACTTCTAGGGGAAAGCCAAGTTTTTTTCCAAACCTACCCCTCCCAATTAAAGAACACGCTCCTTTCATCTAAGAAAAAACCCTCCCAAACAAAAACCTTCCCAATCTATACACACATACTCATCCACACAAACAACTTTAGTCATAGAGGACTTGATGGAAAACCAACCAAACAGCAGTCTTGATGTCAAGTATATTGCTTTTTTTTTCTCTTTCATATATATACCCACACGAGAAGTCGAGAAATATTAAATAACATAGCAACGTATATTAGCAAGCAACCCTGCTTTTATGTTATGGTGAAGCAAGGTAGAAACCCTTGATGGCAGAACAATCTTGCAACCATTCAAGAAAATGAACATCTTGCAACCAAAAAATAAGGATACGTGACCCATTACCAATGTGTATTTCACTCGTCATTTACTGATGTATGGCTTATCAATTTGTGCTTCTTATGCACTCTTTTAGATAATTTCCAGAAATGCAAAAAACAAATATGATGATGATGATAATACTCATAGAGCTTCAATTCATGTCGGTAGATCAACATCCTCATAACTAATTCGTGTTGGCTGACCAATTATAATAGTGACCCACTAAAAGGATAATCTATCCAGATCGTTGCCTTATGTTTACCAACGAATGGCTCATCTAGTGCTAAAAGAATTTTCCGGTTCATCAACATCCTTGCATCTATTCAGAGCACACCAAATTATGTTCCCCCAAATGCCCGTCCTTTAATATGCTAAGTTTACATCATAGCATGCTCTCTTTATATGAAATGACATGAGAAGGGCAACTGAGGCTTTCTACTGGATGACTAAAGTGCAAACAATACTCCCTAATTTGTTGTGAAAAACGACTAAGGACATAGTCTTCAAGCGGAAACGTGAAATTGGGCACAAAAAATTTGTGCCTTGGTGATGATAAGGAGGAAAACCGGTATCGTCTATTTTCTTGTCTTGTCCTTTCCCAAACCTCACTATCAAGTCCTTAGTAGATATAGAAAGAGATTGTAATGCAGTTGAGCTATGAACACATGAATCTGCTGAGAACACTTCAGAATATGATCTTAGTTTGTCCATGCATAGCAAAACTACAAGAATCTCTCAAACAAGTTTAGCTCTACTGCTGACATTTTCAACAGGGTTGCATCCTAGTTACAGCCATTATACTAGGCACTTATCAGTATTCTAGTATCAAGAGCACGTATCGTAGTGACAACATAATGTGAATTTTCTGTTTGCCAGTATTCCAATGAACGAATCTAGCTCTGTGTCGAATAAACGATCCAATAGAGGAACAGACTACTTTGTTCTCTTTCCAACATAGATCGGATAAGGTGAGTGTTCTTTTTTATTGGACAAGTGTTGTTGGTTTTTCTTGCCATATGATCCATAGATAGTTCGCTTTGCTTTAACTGAACAAGATTAAGTCCCAAATACTTTTTTCTTCAGTACTATCAAGTATCAAAGGATATATAGGTTTACAGGGATTTCACCAATTCCTCTGTTACTACTTGAACATTTGAATAGTTATTATACATTAAATAAATCCACAACCAATAAAATTTCTAGTGACCGTTCTAAGCTCAACTGTTCCAAATAGGCACTGTAAGGACTAAGGACCTTGTCATTACAATGACGAGAGCTACTGTGGCCATTCTTGACTATCATATAATATAACCTGAAACTATAAGCTGATGGACTTCATGCCTAGTTCTTACTTCTTTCAAATTCAAAAATTACACAAATGACATCAAATAACTGCTGTGAACAGCAAGTACAGAGACACTTTACCTTGATATTTCCATTAGTAGAGGAATTAATTTTCCAATCCAACCCCAAAATCCTAGTGGACGAATGATAAGAACCCCTAACCACACTGCCATCATAAATCCTCCTTGATACCGCTAAGTCCCACGAATTCTCCGCAAAATCATAACACGGCTCAATCGTCATCACACCTCCATGCATGTAAGTGTACTTCACCTTACAATTCCCCGACTCAAATCCATAGTTCGCCGAAACCTTATGATTAGAATCCAACAAGAGCGTACCGTCCAATGCCGTCCGATCCTCAACCAACGAATGTGTGTATGTCAAGTTCAACGGCTTCTCATTAACCCGAACAGTATTCATGAATTGGAATCGTACATCCTACTTACATAGGAAAACATCGTATTAGCTAAAAATGGAAAAATCTAGTTGAAATTCAAACGAAATCACTATAATCGTACCTTTTTCTGGACGTTATAGTCCACGTTGAAGAATCCTGGGTTTTCTACGGATAGGGTAAGGCCATTTAAAGAAGGACCATTAACGAAGGTGTCGCCGGTGGTGGAAGCTCGTAGGTTGATACCGCCGGTGTTAACTACGACAGAGGCGGAGGCATCGGAATTGTCGGCGTCGTAGCCTCCTCTGAATGAAGCCTTTATCATTTTGTATAGAAGATGTTACCAGGGGTTACCAGAATGATGGTGAACAGAAAATGAATTCCATGGTCATCAATAGATCTGGAGGGCTCTTTCGTCCTTTAGATTTTTATAAAGCTTTTTTGGGCCTATAGTCCACATATTTGGGCTCTGTAGTCGGCCTTTTAACTTGCATAACAATTTAAAAACCTGCTTCGTGGTTCAATTTTAAAACAATATATTACATGGATAAAGTTGTCTGTATAGATTAGGAAAAAAAAATGTGTTTTTTAACAGGGAGACTTAGCTTTATGTATAAAGTTCCCTTTAAAACCTTACCGAATATGCTACTTTATATATGATCAAACCACTACCAAACAATCATATATAACTGATCGAATAAGTTGTGAGTCTCATCAAGCTACTAACAACATGTTCTAAGTTTGTTCGTGCGATGCAACATAATACATGTACAAAAGTTCAAATTCTCTTTCTTATAATAAAGTTTCTAATTTTTTTACATTTTACCCATTTTGACCAATAACCTATCGATTTTGTAACTTTTTACGGATGATGTGAAGTTTATCACGCACTTTGTAAACCTTTCATGAACAGGAATTTCACATCATCATATGTTATAAAATCAACAGGTTATGAGTCAAATTAATACAAAATATAAAATTCCGAAACTTTGTTATATCGATTGAGAAAAAGATTATCATTATTCCAAGTAAACTACATTTTATTAATTTAAAAAAAATGTTATATTATTTATTAATAAATAAATGAACTGAAACTATATAAACTAATAAATGAGCCATAAAAATAAATGTACCGCAAGATGATGCATGGAGATGTACTAGGTTGAGCTTTATTTTGGGAAATTGACAAAATTTTGTCGACCTATTCAATTAAATTTACTTTATAATCATTTTAGGTTTTTAAAATAGCGATTGCATAGTAAAAAAAAAAAAAGAGAGAATTATGCATATGCAAGAAAATTTGTGCAAAAATTGAATATTGATTACATTTTATACTTTTATAATTAGTTATTTAATTATTTTATTTTCTTGCTTTTTTATTTTACACCATTCTTATATTACCATATATTAACTAAAATATATCGAAAAATATACGTTTCTCTTTTTATAAATCATATCATTTTAATTGTCTCGTCAATATTTTCAATATGAGGCTAATATTGAATATTTTTGTAAAAATTATTTTTAATACTTACACTTTATATCCTTGTAGTTGTTTATTTTAATTTGTGACTATGAGATTATAAAGTGTAAATATTAAAAATAATTTTTACGTATTTATTATATTTAATAAAATTATTAAATCAAATAATATTTAATGTTTGGCTCATTTTGAAAGTATTGTCGAGATGATTATAATGATATAATTTATAGAAAGAGAAACATATTTTTTTTGAAAATATTTTGGTTAATATAAGGTTTATGTATGATAGTGTGATAAGGGTGTAAAATAAAAACGTAAGAATATAAAATGAATTAAATAACTAATTATAAACGTGTAAAATATAATTAAAACCATGCTGTTTTCTAAGGATATTATTTTTAAAAGTGACTATAAAATAAATTGAATTAAGAGGCAATTTCTGAATCGTTAAGAGATGAATTTTGTTTGGCAAAAAAAAGTTTATCTCTTAATGGTTCTAAAACTCTCTGAATGATTTTGTATCATGGGTCTGCCTTAACCATTCAACACTGTAATTTCATTGTAAACAATTACCAAACAATTATATTTTATTTTGCACTATATCATGAGAGCCTCTTAATCATTCTGACCACTTAGGGCCTGTTTGTTTTTCAAATTTTGCCTCTTAATTACGTCTGAAGTCTGATTCGGTCAGACATATACCATTTCAGACTGTTTGTTTTTTTTTTCAAATTAAGAGCTTAAAACCTCTTAAAATCATCTGAATTTTAAGTGAAAAGTGTGACTCTGAAATTGCTTTCAGACGCCTCCTCCCTATCTCGCTCCCGATCTCGACTTCATTCTCGCCTCTCAAATTCAGAAGTCTCGATCTGAAACACCTGAAGCTCTCGATCTCATCTCAGCTCTCGATCTGAAACACTTGAAGCTCTCGATCTCATCTCAGCTCTCGATCTCATCTCAGCTCTCGATCTGAAACACTTGAAGCTCTCGATCTCATCTCAGCTCTCGATCTCATCTCAAATTCAGAAGTCTCCTCCAGATCTCATCTCAGCTCTCGATTTCACTCTCGATCTGAAACACCTGAAGCTCCGGATCTCGATCTCTTCTTCTTCCTCTCGATCTCTCTGAAAACCCACAACAGGAAGCATGAGTCGTTCTCGATCTCTAGCATCGCTCAATCTCACAGTCGCTCACTGATCTCCAGCTCTCTCACGCAATGGATCTGTGTTCTTCTTTAATGGATCTGTGTTCTTTATATATATATATATATGTGTGTGTGTGTGTGTGTGTGGATTTGTGTTCTTCACGCATATATATATGTACATGGATTTGTGTTCTTGATATATATATATGATTGCAAAGAAGAGGAAATGGAAGGGATGAGAGATTAGGATTGGAGGAGGACGATGATAGCAAAGAAGAGGAGAAGCTGAGAAGGAAGATGAGAGTTGAAGTGGTTTTTGTTTTTTGGTTTTGTGTGTGGTGATTCTAGGGAAGACCATCATTTAAGAAAACTATTTTTCATATGTTTCAAAAAGAAAGTTTATCAATCTTCGGACGTAAAAACAAACAAAAACAAACAGTATGTCTGATTCAGATTTCAGACTTCAGACGTAAAAACAAACAGTCTGACTGATTCAGATTTCAGATTTCAGACGTAAAAACAAACAGTCTGACTGATTCAGATTTCAGACTTCAGCACCACCTCTTAAAAATCAGAGGTGAAATCAGACTTCAGACTTCAGCACCTCTTAAAAAACAAACGCCACCTTAATCATTCAACACCAAACCATTCAACAATTACAAAACAATCCCTTAATAAAATTTCTATTTTTATTAATATTCCCTTTGTTTTCAAGTCAGTAGACCCCTTTGGCTGAATAATGTACTAGGTTTTGCTATCAAATGAATTTGTCCTCTCAAGGATATAATTTTTAACTTGTAAACCTTATTTTTATTTTATTTTAAAAATGTCATTTATTTTATTAAATCAACGTGATAATGATTTAGAATCTTACTCAATAAGTGAGAGGGAAAAAAATATTATCTATTTATTTACCAACAATCTATTTTGATGGTTGAGAATGTTACCCAATAAAGTAAATAAATATGGTAATTCTTGTTAGTTGGCATTTGTTAGGTAAACGTTTGTTAAATGACTCCTAGTTAATAATTAGATTTTCTAGTGATGGTCTAAATATATTTATTTGAAAAGTCAAATATATTGAGGAACAACTCAGAAAATCAAATCTTTGACACTTTCGTATTGGTTGACAGTTTAAATCTTGTTTAGACCGTAAAGAATTGTTCTATTCTCACCGTTATCTAAACAAATTCATAGGATCAATCGATTTGTACCCATTTGGACACTCTCATTTGGACACTTCCCAAACCCACGGTTGTCCTCAAGCATTTGCTGCTAGGGATTTCTTGGTTGGTTGTGTTAGTATTTCCTATATTGTTTTGTATATGTTCTTGTCACTTTTGCTTCTTCTTGTTGGTAAAATCCCTTATGTTGGGATGACACTTGCTCTTGAATTTCTTTTTGCTTTTCTCGAAAAATGTTGGTTGGTTTTTTTTATTAACCTAGATATTCAATTCGATAAACGAACCGATTAATTTCAGGGCGACCACCTGTTTTGCAGGCAGTCCCGATCACCACATTTGAACCTTCGTGGTCACAAGAGAATTTTTATTCCTACTTAGATTTGAATTTGGGACTTCCAAACACTTTTGACCTTTAGAACTTAATTAAGCTCAAATCAATCATACAGCACCCTTGTGATTGGTTGGGTTTTTTTTCCTTGTTCATATTGTTAGTTTTTTAGTAAATTATGATACCTTTCAAAAAAACAGTATTGTAACTATAAAATTGTTACTTTCTTAAACGAATCGTAATTTTTGGTTTGAAATATAGTTAATAAAAATGTATGTCAATAATTCAAAGAAAATATATGAATTGACTCGTAATAAAAATAAGAAGGGAGAAACTGGTATATTGAAATCAAAAGTATAAACTTGTAAGAACATCTTCAGTACAAGGTTCTTATAAGTAAGAAGTGTAAAGAGTTCCTGTAAGAATCTAAACTTATTTAACTTTCTGTACAAGAACTTTAGTTCTTATCTTAAAGTGACCTTTGCTAATTTTTTTTATATATTTATTTATGAATATATAATAATTATTGGTGTTAAAAAAAATACAAAAACAGCCATAACTTTTATATAAATTCCTACTTTAATAAGTTAAAAGTAATCTGATAATAAAAAGTGCAAAAAATAAAATCTTATAAAAACCTACATGCTCTAACAAATACTTGTACATAAACAGTAAATTTGTATTACAAAATTATTAAACTTAACAAAATATTGGATTTTTTTAGAAAATGTTAAGATAAGATTATATATACGCCATCCACGGCTTTTATATATTTCCGTGTTCGTTCGTAAAACAATTTTCTCTCACACACAAACATCCACTGAAAATGGTGAAATTTAAGCTTCGTATTTTCAGATCCTTCCGAACAAAAGACACTTCTACCCCGCCGGAAAAACCTGCGTCGCCTCGACAACGCCACAAACTAACCGAAGTCGATTTAACATGCACGACGTCACCACCACCTTCCGAACAACCACCTCACCGTTCTTCCTTTAAAACTCACTTGTTGTGCTCCGTCTTCCGCTGCGGTTCCAGCTCCGGCAACCACTCCGCCTCCGAAGACCTCCAATGGCACGTCGTTGAGTCCCCTCGCCGCAAAATCTACAACTCCTCCGCCATCGCCGGTGTCTTCTATGACGACGGCGAAAGGTTCCATACCCCCATACAGCCATCGATCAGAAAGAAAAACCGCCGCGTACGAAAGGTGAAAAAAAACAAACCTACACCGGTCACCACCTCGTCTCCCGATAGCGACCAGTTTACCACAAAGTACACCATCGACGAAGATGAACAGAAACCTGGAATCATTAGCTCGTCTTCTAGAAGCTTCTCAACCAATTCCCCAACGGTACCAAGTCCCCATCCCCAACCTAATTACAAAGTAAAGAAGAAGCGGGTAAAATCAAGGCACAAAGGCGGGAAAGGTGGTGGTGTATCACCGGAATGGGGATCGCCGGCGAGATTGTCGGTGTTTAAGAAGCTAATGCCATGTAAAGTGGAGGGAAAGGTGAGAGAGAGCTTTGCGGTGGTGAAGAGATCGGAGAATCCATACGAGGATTTTAAGAAATCGATGACGGAGATGATTGTAGAGAAGCAGATGGTGGAAGAGAGTGACTTGACGCAGCTTTTGCAGTGTTTCTTGTCGTTAAATTCGAGATATCATCATGGTGTAATAATGGAAGCTTTCTCTGAGATTTGGGATACTATGTTTCTTGATCAATATCGAACCTTAGGTATCTAAATTAATGATTGAAGGGATTGTTATTTGCATCTTTTTTAACGTTAAAATTGGATCAATTTATGTATTGATATTGTAAAAAATGAGTTTTGATATTAATATGTATGAGTAGGAAAGTAATAGCCTGGGTGCATTTAACAATGTATAGGGATGCAATTAGTCTCTCCCATAATTAATTATCAGACGTTATTATACATGTATAATGTAATATAATTATAAATAATTTATGGTTTTGTTTTTGTGCTATTATAGATTATATAAAAAAGAACTTCTATAATATGTGTTTTGTTTTGATTTTTTAGTCACTCCCCTTAACTCTAGAGTTATTTCTTTTTTGTTACCGACGAGGGTAAATTTGTCATTTTAGAAGAAAAGACACACAAAACTCTAACCCTTTCTCTCTTGACGTTCTTCTTCAGCCCTTGATCCTTTTTTTCTTTATCCTTAACTGCTCAAAAATGGAAGAAACGTTGGTAGGGGTAACTACATCAACTTTGCTTTGACCAAGAGAGGAGATGATCGTTGAAGGTCGAGTTCATCACTAACTACATATGCTTCTCTAACTACATTTGCTCTCCTGAAATCCCTCGTCTGCTTTGTCTGCTTCTTTTCCCCTGAAAACTGATGAAGATCATTTCAGAATAAGATGATGGTGATGATGACAATGTTGGTGACACCTGGTTACTTGTATTTCGATCTTGATTTAGGGTATGTATTCTTGATCATAGTAAATATACATGTGTTCTTTATTCATGGCTTCAAATAACCTCGTCATCTTTGGAACTAACGATGAACGATATCCGTTTTTTCCAATTCCTTTCTCATTTGGATGGATTCCAATTCGATTATTATACTTACCCCGACCTATCATAGCATCTTTTCCTCTCATGTACTGTTTTTTCTCGGTCTACCAATTGGATTTTTTTGGCCAAATTGGTGCATCTTTCTTTTCATTTTTACAACCTCTAGAATTATGTCCTACCTCCAAATAATTTCTACAAGTCATCTCATGGTTTTATGCATTTCTCCTTCTTCAGCCATCTCCTTCACTTACATCCTTCCTTCTAGCTATTGAAGGTTTGTCGGACATGCGCCTGGAAATTCTCTTGTTTTCATCTTAATCTTATCGAGGATTCTCTCTAAAGAAAAGAGATTATATTTGGGTAATGGTTTGACGAAATCAGTTTTTGGCCAAAGTTTGACGTCGTTCAAAGGGTTGATCATGTGATTGTATGTGTTAACGAAATTTGTCGTTGGAAAACAAAGGAGACACAAACTCAATTGGATCCAAATGAGTCAAGTACATGAACTAATTTCAAGGATGTGATAGTCATTTCTATAAGATAGAATAAAAAAGAGGTTTGTTTGTTATATGACCATTTCTGTAAGGGTCATTATTGTAATTTTCTTGGTGCATGACTTAACAGATATTCAGACAGAAGTTAGCCCAGGGACGAAATAAAAAATAATATGAAAATCACAACTATAAAATGTAATTTTTAAGTCATAGAAGCAAAAATAGAAATGATTGATAAAGTATAGGGACTAAAATCGTAGTTTATTCTAAAAATATTATAACGGAAGCATAGATTATGTTGGGAAGTCAAGTGTCACGTCAGAGCAATTCCCGGTGCAGAGAAATTGTCGCTACTTGATTCACGTTATTCCATTCATGTGATGTCGTGAACAAACAATTTTTACTTATTTAAAGTTTTTTGATTAAATTATATTTCTGGTCCTTTGATTTATGTGTTTTAACATTTTAAGTTTTTGTTTTAAAATATCTATAGATTACATTTTTTATGGTTTACATTTTATAACACTTTGATCTCTAACCTTAATTTTGTTAGATTTTTTTTTATGTTAAATCAGGGACGGACTCAAAAAAAATTTTAAACGATGGCACCATTTGATCATAAGGAAAAAAAAAAAATAGAAACTTGTTTTTTCAAACGCTGACACCGTTTGACTAAGAAAATGACACTAACATGATTCGGACTTGGGTGTGGGGTGGAATAAAAGWCTTGCAAACCAACTCTACCAAATAAAATTTGTTCTCATTGTAGTTTCAAAATACATACGGTGACACACAACAAATTAATACGGTTATACCGTTTACGAAACCTAAATTTTTTACCCTTCGGGAGAGAAACGATACGGTGACACGTACCACCCATGGCACTTAAGTAGGTCCGCCTATGTGTTAAATAGGTTAATTAAGAGGGCACTTCAATCATTTTTAATATAAGGACTAAACATGTAATTTACTCTCAATATTTATTTATTTATATATATATATATATATATATATATATATAGGGGTGAGTTCAAATAAAAACTACTCAATTTGTAAAAAACGTGAAAACCTCATTCAACCAATCATAATTTTTCATTTTGTTCATTTTTTTGTAATTATGAGAGGTTGATTAACCATTTTTATTGTGGGGGTGTTAATCATAGATATTATCATCTTCATTATTTTAATTTTAGAGAAATACATGAAACAGTTTCATTAAAATTTCATTAAGTAGTATATGAAAAACCACATATGAAACAACTTTATCAAAAAATAATATTATATGAAACAATTTCACAAGATTAACAATTTCATGAAAAAATTTCATAATATTAACGACGGATGAGAGTAGTTTTTACGGTTTTTACAAATTGAAGTGGTTTTCATTTGATCGCTCATATATATATATGCGCACCCACACTATATTGTATGTATACATGTTATTTATTAACTTACTTTCATAAAAAAAATTATTACGAAATTATACTTTCGTTTTTCTTTATTACAATAATATACTTTCAAGTTGGTTTTTATTAAGTCAACACATTTTTATTTTTCTTTATTATAGCAATAAACTTTCAAATTATTTTTACTAAAACTTCGTACTTTCATTTTTTCTTATTATAGTAATATACTTTCAATTTTTATTAAAGTATTATATTATCCATTATAAACAATAAGTAACTTTTTGATTGAATTAAAATAACATGACACATGTTACCAAATTTTCATGCTATGTCACTATTCACATGAAACGTGGATGACACGTCATTTTGATTACGGGATATGAATTAAAAAAAAACCTTTTTTTAAAAATAATTTCTCATTTTCCCTCCCGATTATTCATATCTTTTAAAAAGAGGGGTGAAAAATATAATATATGCGGGATATTAATAATTGAGAGGGAATATGTTGAAATTATTTAAAACACCAAGTTATTCATTAATAACACGATATTTAGAAAATTTATAAAATACATTTTACCTTGCTAACATTTTAAAAAAATGTTAAAAAAATGTGTTTTTTGTAAAATAAATAAATAATCATATTTGTTTAAAAAATATGTTATACTACAATATTTAAATTCCAAACAATTTAATAAGAGTAAAAAAAATATGACATAAAACATAATCTAGGTGAGATATGAATAATCAGGAAGAAAAATGAAGATATTATTTAAAAAATATTGAAAGTTTTTATTTATTTGTTTCATGTAATCAGAATGATGTGTCATCAATATTTGATAACTTGTATCATGTCACTTTAATTCAAATCAAAAGGTTGTTAATTGTTATAATGGACAATATCTTTAAAGAAAATTTTCTTAATAAAAACATTTTAAAAGTATATTGCTATAATAAGAAAAACTGAAAGTACGATGGTTAAATAAAAATAATTTGAAATTATATTGTTATGATAAAGAAAAATGAAAGTATAATGTTATAATAAAAACAACTTGAAATTATATTGTTGTAATAACAAAAAAACGAAAATACAATGTCATAATAAGAAAATTTGTGAACGTAAGTTGATAAATATAATATATATACAAAATACACACACACACACACACATATATATATATATATATTAAGTATTAAGTATAAATATAGAATATAGAATATATAGAGAGTAAATTAATGGTTGGTCCCTATACTTAAAAAGACCGAATTGCCCTCTTAATTAACCTATTTAACAAAAAAATCTAACAGACTTAGATTTAGGGATCCAACGTGTTTAAAATGCAAACCACAAGAATGTAATCTATAGATATTTCAAAATAAGAACAAAAAATGTTAAAACACATAAACCATAGGGACCAAGTAATTTACTCAAGTTTTTTTTTGTCCAATATTTATTATAAGAATTTTTCTAATCAAATGTTTACTATAAAAAAATTCAGTCTAATAAAATTATGTAAAAAAAATAAAAGCCTTTTTATTGTTTATTTAAAGAATTTCTAGGGTAAATATTTAAGACAAATATACCTTATTTCATTAATTTTCTACTTCATATGCTTTTTACTCTTTTAATTAGATTTTTGTAATTTATTTTTAGAATAACTTGCATAAATCATTCATGATGTATTGTGGAAATTAAGGTTCTAGTCTATAACCCTTATTGATTGCAAAATAACGATTGTAGTATGCATTTTGTTTTGGTTTGGTTTCCTCCCATAGGGTTCGTTATGTTCTAGCTGTTGAGTGGCACCACATGGAAGCAAACATGTCGATTCATAATTTCTTTCTATTTTTTGCAACAACAAAAAAAAATCCTAAGCATACATTTATCATATTCTTTCCCTCCCTCCCTTCTCTCAACAATTACCCTTTGAATCTCGTGGGATCAATTCAACTGGTAACAAGTGGCAATAAGGTTTGGGTCTTTTGGAGCTCTTCCACAGTAACCGGTCATTAATTTGACTACTGCAAGGTCACTGTTAAATTCTTTGACTGTTTTTTAGAGTTCTTGGGATTAGTCCAATTGTACACGAGTTGGTTAGTACACTCACGATTAACGAAAAAACCACTGTCCCTTTGAAACCCGCTCTCTTATGCCATCATGGATCACCCCCTCGGCTTACACCACCATGGAATTGATGTTCTTGACCAAAGGCTACAGTTTCTAAAGGTTGATTATTCTTCATATCAAAATATTGGATCTAATTATGGTTAACTGACTCTAAATTTTGAAGATGTTCGAAGGAAACAAGGGTTACATCGCATCTCCTACACCTCCCTCACCGTGGTCGATCACCCAACTACAACCCACATCTT